CTGCAGGGCAGTTGAAACATTGGTGCAAGTATCTTAAATGCCCCCATCCTCCACCGCCACCTCTGTCCACCTGGCAGTTTCAATGGGTACCACCACAGTTAGTGAATCAGCAGTTCACATGTGCTGGGGTAAAGTGTGGGTCGTCCCACTTCCTTCCTCCAGATTTCTGGACAGCGGTATATTCTCTAGAGCACTTTTCTTCAATTTTCAGATGGGGCCACTTTCGCCGATAAGACATCAGTGTGAGGTTCACCACACCACCTGCAAGGGGTGTTTCACCTTTGTGTATTGTCGGGGGTGCGCACTAAATGTGCCCCAAGGGGCTGCGAGTGGCTCGCGGGCCTTGCAATGAAGAACACTGCTCTAAGAGGGACTCTCCGGAGCTCCCTCGTGTGGAGGCCCTTCTTCCAGCAGCAGTGGCCTGTGCAAGTAATTGCGGGGCTGCACCTTTACCCCTCAACTGTACCTTGCATCTTCATTGAGAGCTCCTAGCTAGTAGTGGAAATTACACGTTCCGGTGGTGGAGATCGATTTTATTTTTCTCAGAGGACAAAGTACAGTTGTTATTTTGTGCAATACTAATGGCTCGCCCATTGTTTATGATGGGATTTGTTCACGTCGTAGTCATATTCATTCGTGTTTATTTTACGAATACGCTTTAACTGAATTTTATCAGGTAAGAGATACGTTTAAAAAACATTTGATTATAAAGACCATTAGTACAAGTAGTTGGGAATAACTTTTCGTTCATGGTAAATAAAGTATTGAGTGTCTGCCTATTTAATCATATATAGTATTTGAAGTTCCGGCTGAAAACCCACCTACTTAAAATTGCCTTCACTCTCCAGTTTTCCATCTTGTCTCTTTAGTCTTTTGCTCCACGGCCACTTATGACTTATTTTCCTCCTCTACATGCACGCTTGGCGCTACAAGATCCATCGTTTGTTGGTGCCTTGTACATCTGAATGTATTATGACGAATTATAACTTTTAAAAAGTGTTGTCTGCTACCTGTCAGCATCATTACTGTTTGGAATAGACCGTTAGGCGGCCAACTGTGAGGTTATCAGTTTCATCCTAAGCAAGGGCAGATATAATCGTTGATATGTCCTTTTGTCTGCATATAACGCATTAAAAAGCCACTCTTCATGCTGCATTTCTAAGTGTAGACATCTTATAAACATATCTCCCAAGTGCGTAGCATTTTCACGAGCGCTGTAATTTATTTGGATGACACAGTTATTGGACAGCCTTTTGTTTCATGAATGCCAACCATAAATCAGCGAAATGAACGCTTACGTGATCAAACAGGTATCCCTACTGGAGCAGTAAATTGTGATTCCAAACATAGAATACAATTTTCACGTTTTTTTGTTGCATAGTACACTGTCCATAATTTTGTCTAATTTACGTATTGTCTACTACAGATTGTTTTTTTTTTAACTCAGGCTCTCTCGCTACGCCGGTTGACATAATCCGGCGCAAAGTAAATTCAGCTTCTCGCCAAACTGACAAACAAGCCATGCATCCGGAACACACGCCATGGCTAACATGTCCCCGAGGACGACAGCAGAGCGAGCGCTCCGAGTAAACCCGGGGAGCCAGAACGGGGTGAGTTTTCAGCAGCCATGGTGACTGTGGCCGGCCCGCGAGCCATGCGTTACGAGGGAGCGCGAGCCGGCGCGCATGTGGTAGCGATTAAAGGAGCCACAAAGCTCACCACCAGCCCCGTCAGCCAAGCTCAGCCGCCTTCACCAGCCCCCACCTCTTAACTTTCCCTTAACTGCACTCGACTGCCCGTGCGTACGAGGGACTTAAACCGCACGTAAAGCTTGATTTTTATAAATTGATCTTCCAACCAAAACACCACCACATTTTTATTTTTTATGGAAATACTCATAAAGTAAATCTTAATCTTTGGATTTCAGCAGATTTTTTTATGTAATAAATAATACACTTTTTAAGAAAAATAGGTGGAAGAACGAGAAAGAGCCTTGCTTCAGCAGCATGCATGCACAGCCTGGCTTCAGGTTTTCATCATTATTCATCTTTATTTGGTTAAGTCCTCTAAGAAAAAAAGTACATTCCACATTCGGTAAAAATGGCTGAACTATTTTCCACAAATATTTACTTTCTTTTGTAAGTACTGCATGCCATTTTAATGTTTTTTACATATTTTTTTTCTAAACAGCCTCAGTAGTTCTTAATTCCAACCACCAGGAACGTGGATGGGCCTCTATTTTGCCTAGAAACTTCATTTTCAGAACTTTAGGAATTGTTGCGAGCGCATAAAAGAGACAAGATGTGGCTCTGCCACAGCCAGCGATGAGGCATTATACGTGTCAGTGTCTCCAAGGATCAGTGTGTGAATTGTGGCTACATTTTTCACCACATGCAGCATTATACATTTATACATTTCTGTCAAGCGGTGAAATAATGGCATTTTTCAGAAAATTATGTACTTAGTGCGTGGCACTAGTTGCCACATTATGTTCCTAATGCAGTTTTTCTTCATCAGTCCACACGGACTGACATGTTATTAAATCCTGGAACACCACTGAATGAACCATGCAATTGTCCTGGTAACAGCACGTGTAAAATAAATAAAGTAACCTCACTGAATTAGATCCACATCTCCTATATTTCTGGGATAGAGTTCCAAGTCAATGCTACTGTAAGACAGACTTTTGTTCAGGTTTTTTAGTCGTGGTGTAACAATGTATCTATTCAGTGATATTGATTATTAGGCTCACTATTTATGCCTCGAATTGCACGTGTAAACATTTATAGTTTTAAATTCGTTCATCACAATCTTAAAAAAAAATTTCCTTTAAATTAAAATCCTTAAAATATCTTTCGGTCTTTTCCCCCCAATGTTATTGACGATGTGCTGTTGGCATCATGTCAGGAGACAAAGATTCCATTCAGAAATTCCACAGATCAATGCAAGTCCTCCACGCTTCTGAGAATGGTTGCGAAAGGTATTTTCACAGAACTTCTTTTGAAAAAGCCTTCAAGTGGCCTTTCCTTACCCACTAGTGGGCACACTTTCAGGCACACTCTGCTGTGAGTTTTGTGTTTGTATAATGAATTCAAACCAGATATTTTAAATCCCAGAGCTGCAATTTGGAGAAGAATTACGTATTGAATCATATCACAACCGTGAATTGTGACAATTGTTCACATTTACTGGAGGATGAATTGTTATAGCTTCAAGGTTTTTTTCTCAAATCAATAAGGGGTTTCTACTGAGGATTTCCGCATTGAACGTTAAACATCGTTTGTTATAGAGGCTTGGAGGGGTGAAAAAACGATGCTTTAATGTTGATTGGTGTAGAGGTCTATGTTTATTGGACAAGAAAATGTTGGGTGCTTTGGCACTTGACATTTAATTTTGGAACATGTCAAGCACCTACTGTACGTGTGATCAATGAATGCAATGTATAAGGAGAGTGCCGTTCTCTTACCCAAGCTTCGCAAAGGGGTATTGGAACTAACGGAGGCTGGCCTCCTCACACCGCACAGCTTGTGGGAGTTATTTGACCATACCTATCCACGCTGGTCAGTGGCGGCTTAGTGAAGGTGAGGGTGCATAGATGTGGGAACGTTGAAGTACATTACAACAATGTGGATAAGTGGTGGAGGACTGTTTATAGGACAAATAAATGTTGGGTGCTACGGCACTTTGCATCTTACTTGAAGCACCGACTGCGTGTGCTATTCGTGAAAATAAAGTATGAGTAGCGTGGAGTTCTCACCAATACGCTCTCTCACGCAAGCCTGGCGAACGGGTTTTGGAACTACGATGGTGGATTCGGTTGCCCCTGATCCCCGTTTCACCATCCCGCGGTGAGCCTATCAAGTCTTGCTCACTTACAAATACATGAGACACATACCAGCATCAGTGAAAGCATATGTGAGGTCTTACACATAAGTAGTAGGAGCAGGTTCCGAATAGTTTTAAGCATCGGCCCGTTACATGTTTCAGGTGAATGCACGTGCGCCTCTTTTATTCATAATGCACACCAGAGTCATTGTAATGTTTGTCGCCTTGCACGTAAGTAGAATGTTTCGGCGTCATTATATCGCCTGTCTACTTGTGCATATGCAGCGTGCGTACGCGTTTGTCTGTCGTCCTGGGTTTACCTCCTCATTCACCAGTTGTTGATCCATCTCATTGACCGTGTGTTTCTCAGCAAAACTGATGCATTCATTTAACATTTTCGCAATGGGCTTGCCCCATGGAGAGAGAGAGAGCACTTTAGATTCCCGGGATGTGGCAGACATATTATGGCATTGTTGTGTAAACCGTTTACGGGAGGCAAAGAGGGGCCGGCGGTACGAATATTCTTGTCGCGAGACAAATAATGCCTTACATGCGACCCTAATGTCGTGGAGATGCGCAGTTGTCTCATGAGGATGGCTTGTTCAAAATAACTTTGCCAGCAAACTCTGCCTAGGGTCAAGTATGCTGGAGTGTCTCGTCACGGTAATATCCAACTGCACTGCATTTATCTTAGTTTGAAAAAAAGGTGTTGTGTGTGTATTGCGTGGTGTGTGTGTGTGCAATTGTGTGTGAGTGCATACTGTCTTTGTGTGTGCGTGTGTGCATGCTGCTTGTGTGTGCCCGTCTTTGCGGTGAATGGGAGTTGCATCGTGGCTTGCAGGTGAGTGTGCTGGGCACGCGATAGTGTAGCGGTGAGCGCACTGCTCCACGAACCCGGCGACCCAAGTTCGAATCCTACTCACGGTCAACACCAGTGATGATTATCTCATGTGGTCCTGGGTCTCCCCCTCAGTAGACTCAGCCTCAAATGAGTACCCGGTGCGGTGTGTAAACATCGCCACTGGGGAGACAAAGGCAGCTGGGCGGGCTGTTGGCCACCCAACCGCCTCGTGTGCTGTGCCGGTCTCCATAGGCGCTCCGAAATAGCACTTGCCCCAACGGTATGTTAAGGCTATACGGGGAATCTTTGTCTGTGTCTTTGTGGTGAATGGGAGGCGCGCCATGGCTTGCAGATGAGTGTGCGGGGCACGCGACAACACAAGAGGGAGGAAGGAAGAGGAGAGTGACGGCCAGCTCGCCTCTGTGTGGCGTCCAGCAGCACGGAGTCGCGGTGGTGAAACGAGTCAAACGGCACTTAGGAAGCAGCATGTTTGTATCGGCACCATGGACAGCCCGGAGTATTTGGACTTGGATGCCATCGACTTCAGCGAGGAGGGGATTTCGGTGAGTGAACGCGGTGTCCGCTTTAGTGGACGTGATCGATGTTGATTGAACCCCTTGCATTGATTTTACGCTTGGTGATAATTTCCTTTCTGCGACCCGCGTGTTGTATTCAAACTTTTAAAAAACGGATCAATTTCATTGCATTTTTTTGTTTTGCCCAGAAATGTTGTTGCCTATTGACATACTATTAGTTTGTTTCATGGTACAATGGCATTGTTAGCTTAACTTTTTGAATTAATACCTGGCAACTGATAGAGTCTGCAAAAGCTGACGCATAGAAGTGTTTACTCCATATGAAACAGCAATGTTTGTGTGAACAGTGAGATTAAATTGTTTTAAACATACTCAATGCAGCCTATAAAATAGCAGCCTCTAAAATAGGCTGCTTTAGATTATTATTGTGCATCTCATAAGTATACAAGAATTATAATTTATTTTATTTCCATTCTACGTGGTGACTTTACCGAAAGAACCAAGAAGACGAATCCCTGCAGTCACGAAAGCTTTAAATCGAAATGTAAACAGTTTGTTTTTGAAGAGGATCACTGCACCACCAGAGCTATGATGGATTTATTAAATGTTCTCTTCAGTAACCTGGATAAAGTCCGCTACTGCTGTGCCCTATTCCTCGACTTGTCAAAAGCCTTTGATACTGTTGACCAAGATAATCTACTCATAAGACTTGGTCATCAAACAGTTTGGGACAGTGCAATAAACTGGTTTAAAAATAACCTCTCAGACTGTTCTCAAAAAGGTACAGAGTGATTGCATCTCCTCCACAAATATTAAAATAACAGAGGGTGTTCCACAAAGTTCCGTGCTGGGTCTAATTCTGTACTCATATTTAACCAATCTTGGACTCAACTTAAATCACTCAGAATTAAATATCTTTGCTGATGACAATGTCATGCTAGTATCGGGTAAATCTCCAATCGAAGTCAAACAGAATCTCCAACATGATTTCGACTTAATTCAATATCAATTCTCGTTACAAAAATTGCTCCTAAATCCCCAAAACACGAATGTCATGCTCTTTTCTTTAACCAAAAATCCAGTTTCATTCCCTTCACCTATTGCGGATATGAGAAACAACATAATTGAACATTTGGAGCACTTCAAATACTTTGGTTTACTGATTGATTCAAAACTTACATTCCAACCCCATATTGATCACATCGCAAAGAAAATAAAAAAAGATAGATTTATACAGAATTTTTTTCCCATTCAATAATGCATGAAAATTGGTGAAGCTATCATTCTACAACCTTTTGACTACTGTGACAATATAGTATCGACAATGTACACAGCAAACAAGAATGAACACAATTTCAAACATGCCCTGGTATGCTTGTTTGCATGTGATTCTTTTAAATATTCCTCCTCAAAGGTAATATTTAATCTCGCATTTTTATCAATATAGGACGAGAAAACTGTCACGACTCTTTTGTCCATGTGTGCTCCTTCTAGTCACAGTGCCTGCGTCAGCTGTTTACACTTTTTATAGACATACACCTAATGCTTGGCCAGTGAGCCCGATCTTGGCAGCTCACGGCCTAACAATGCATTGATTTAAACTCTCAGACATCGATAAACACAAATTCAAGGGTACCAGATAAATGTAGGAAAACATTCCATCTCAGAACGATGACTGTAGATGTAGCAATACATTTTTTTTGGCGACTTAAAAAATGGGAGCTCACACTCGGAGAAAATGTACAAGAAGTCAATGTGATAACGAGGTTTCGCTATCAATTATAGGGTCCACGCTGTACATGTGCAGCCCTGGATGAGGGCACCCCCGCACCGTGTGGATTGTGGGAGTTAATTGACCACACTTTACCATGATGCTTAGGTACAGGTTGGTGGAGACAGGAGCAGATAAGTGCCTTCTGCTGCCCACCACACAAACCCACAAGCCACATGACAAACCTGGCATGCTTGGTGGTCATCCATCCAGCACTATCCATGCTCAAACCCTGCTTAGCTTCTGAGAACTGATGAGATCAGGCGCACTCTGCGTGCATTGTCATAGGCAAAACCATGACTCAAACGACAAATCGCATGTGTAAGAACGGACGTGGAGCTGAGTGGACTTGCCGATGACTGGTACCAGTGGTGTCAAGATCGGCCTCAGTGGAGGAGGCTTGGGAAGGACGCTGCTACTGGGCAGTTGGAGGCAGTCGCCCTCCAACAATGGAGGGTGGAGGAGCGACGCTCACAACAACGAGCGGAGCGCCGGGTGGCTAAAGCACAGCAAGTTGGCACAGTAGGGGGCACAGGTGGTGCATCAGCCAGTCATCTCAGTCAGTCGACCAATGGCACCTGGGTCTGCCCCGTGACCTCCTGTCAGCGGGCGTTCGACACTTCACGTGGCCTTAAGGTGCATATGGCCTGGCACAAGCGTCGTGGTGATGTCACCGCCACTTAGTGGCGAATGGCGGTTGTTGTTGTGTTTAGTCATGTATGTTGTATGCACTGTGATGGGATCACACCCTCCAGTTACTAATGGACACCACATTCACCACAATGTATAAAAAAAATCCATTCTTGAACTGAATTGAATTGCCGGCGGGTGAATCGTTACACCTCTAATAAGGGGTCTTGTAGATCATTTATCTACTTCACTTGCCATTGTTTCGTGTACTTTGGAGGTAGGTGTTATGTACCCAGTTTTAGAACTGGTTCTGTAATTACCATTGGTGACCAAGAACTAATGATTTAAACACGCCACTCGAGCAAACACACCCAGACAACCTTCAGATTTTTTAATGACATATGTTTTGCTTGTCCATCACGAAACTTTAACCATGGCGCCCAGACATTGTCAAATCCAAAGACAGTACTTTCATGGGCACTAGCCTACCATCAGTCTTTACATGTTTTCTTTACGATAGATGCATTAACGTGTACTCTGACATCGATGCATACACAAACGGATGCCCACAGTACATAATAACCACCACATTTCAGTCCCTTGAACAAAAATCAGTACAATAGAACCTCCGCACTTATAAATATACAAACAGTATAATAAGGTTAAGAAAATAGTATATGAATGTACTTTGGGAATTGGAGGGTAATGTGTTTGAGATAATGAGCATATGGATAAATCTATGCTGGCCACAAACCTGACAGTAAGTGGACTATTTATCACACTTGAGGTTCACATTTCACCTAAATCACCTTATGGGATGTGTTGGTTTTAAAGGAGCCATATCTACAATTGCTGAAAGCAGATTTCAAGACCTTTAAGTGTTGTTAGATACAATTGTGGGTCTCAATTATTCACAGTAATTGTGGCACTGTCTGGGCAAAGCTTATGCCATTTTGAGCGATTCAAGTTTGGAAACGTAACTTATAAAATGTAAATGTTACACATCATGTTTAATGATCTTATTGTCTCACAGACGTGGTATTTATAGATTGGTTATCTCCACATTCAGACCGTTTTCACATTGCTTAACACACACACACTGCTCCTCTTACATGTCATCCACCTGGTATCTTGCATTGTTTGATTCCAGTACATTTAGACTAATTTATGAAGGATACATTATACCCCCGTAGAAAAAGACAACCTTTGTCAATGTACCAGTAACGTAGCACAGTGTGGGATCGATACAACATTTGTAGTTGGATGGTGTTGATAATTGGAAAATGGAAGTTATGACCAAGTCTTGATCACATTCTGGTCGATTACACTATTTCAAAGTAAAAACTATATAGTGGTATTCCTCAAAAGTCATATAAATTAATTTTTGTGTGGTGCAGACTTAAAATGTGGCTGTTGGTTCAATAACATCATTATTACCTTTGTGATTGAAATGTAATGGATCTGAAATTTTTAATATCAGTTCTGTCCCGCTTTTTGAAGAGAATGATGACTAAGGAATAAGCCTGTACATGAGGTATTTCATTTCTGCGTAAACATTTAGTAAAATAGGTCAAGTAATTAGCTTTAATGTGGTTGCACCAGCTGGTCCCGCTTGTTTGATAATGTTTGTGGTTAATTACATTTGGTCCAGGAACTTTAATTTATTTTTAACGCTGTTAAGGATATTAAGATGACACCATCGCTCATAAACTAAACAAATGTTTTTCCTGTGAGATCCGATATTTTTCCCATGAAAATCAATACAACATGTATCTTTTAGTTGAATGATTCTGCGTCTGTAGTGTGTTATGATTCAATCTTGGTCTCCTAAGAACTACCATTTGCGATTTACCAATCCACCTTTTTTTAACTTCTTTCATGCTCCCATTGTTTATTATGAGATGTTCAATCACGTTGGCATTTTGTTGAATTTTTTTTTAATTCATTTCCTAATGGTTATACAGAGGTCAGTGTGGTCTGTGTTTTGTTAGGCATTATAATTAGTATTATTTTTTCTTTTCTTGTAATTTTAGATTGCTTGTCTTCTCTTAGCTTTTTTTTTACTTTGATTACTTTTAATGTTAACAATCTGGTCATAGTGTCGTTGTGATAGAAATACTAATATCTTCGCTAGACGAGTCTAATTTCTCCCACTTATTGAATACGATTTGTATCTTAATTTTCTGGTTCTTTGCCTGAAATAAGGTTTGTAGCGTTGAAGTGCAACTGGCATTGCATCAGCTTCCCAGTAAAGATGCAACTCTGGCATGCGGCTGGCCCAAACAGTTTCGTGTCTACTGGGTTGTGATCACTTCCTGTGTTAAATTTGTTGAGGACACAGGCATCCTTTGACTTGCTGGGCTATTATCCACGAGAGTGAAGTCTATTTGGTTTTAATTGCACCACGCTGACTCCTCCATGTACATTTCCTTCAGTCCCTCTTTCTGAAAAATGCATTCATTGTTTTTACTTTCCCACTGTTTACACAATCGCTCATAGATGGCCCTGCTCATTATCTCGTTCCTCTAAACTACATTTGCACCGAAGTGTGATGGTGTGGCCTTTGACTAACTTCGTACATTGGTCCATGTGATTTGTTATCGGGGCATATATTTGCAAAGATTTT